AGAGAGAGAGAGAGAGAGAGAGAGAGAGAGAGAGAGAGAGAGAGAGAGAGAGAGAGAGAGAGAGAGAGAGAGATGCGTACTATTCGAATAGTACGTACGCGTGTACTATTTGAACGTGCCTACTATTCGGATTTTCAGGAGTTACTTCTAAAAATAGAGTTCCAGGGGAAGTTGAATAGTACATACGTGCGTTTTGTTCGGGGGACTGTAGGCCAGTTGGTATCTACATAGAGGCCCTCGCCGCACTACTCTCCAAATGTGCAAAATGAGACCGAATCCACCTGTAGAACATGGAAAGATACATTGCCATCGTTTTTGTCTTTTGCGCATGTGGAGAGAAGTGCAGCGAGGCCCACAGATCAGCGGCTTGCTCTGCTTGCATTTGCTTCCTCACGCCAGCAACCATACAGGGAGAACGGCTCAGTCACACGCAAGGAACGTTCACGGAATTCCGGCCGCGTTGTCTTCTTTCGGGCCCCTCGTAGCTGGAGACTCCAGCCCTTTCCCTCCACGTTCGGCGAGAGGCTAAAAGGCTGAAAGGCTGAGAAGTCCCAACACCTCTTGAGTGGGGGGCTATCCCCCCACGGCTGTGGCAGCTCGATCGAGTAGTTTTTTTGGGGTACATTTTTTGATATGGCCACAGTGAGGCCATGAGATGTTACCGGCAATGAGATCGGACGTTGCAGCGTCGCCAAGGCTCAAAAACTACTCGATCGAGCGGTTACCGGTAGTGGTGGGACTTCGGCCTCTGGGTGCGTATCGCTCGGAGCGCCGCAGAGCCCTGCACTTCATTCCAGCAAGTAAGTCACCAGAGCGGCCACCAACGGCCCTCGGGAATCGTGTCACGGCTTTTTTGCCTGGGTTTAATCTGTAATCAGAGAACCGTCGTGCGGCACGGGAGGCGGCGGGTTTGAAGTCGGCGAGCGGATCCGTGCCCCCGTCGTTGTTCTTTTCCCGCCTCTTTGCCCTAATTTCCGTTCCTGTTGGTTTTTGCTGTCGTTGAACCGGGCACCCATCTTCTTCTTCGCCACTTGCTCTTTACGTGGTTCGTCGTATGTGGTGGCGTCGCGTTCACTCAGCAGCCTATTCCCTGGAAACTCTGCGCAGCGCAGACCCTTCCCGCGCCGCGTAGCACCGCCCCTCAGCGCTCCTCCTCTGGAAGAACTTCCGGCGTGCTGGCGGCCATCGCTAGGGGTCGGATTAGCCAGGAGAGTTTGACTGTGCTGAGGAGACTTGGCTGTGAGGAAGGAGGTGCCATCTACAAGGATGGGTAGTGCCTTGGATATGTCCCTGGATGACCTCATTAAGTCGAGTAAGACTGCAGGCAGAGGAGCGGGGAGGGGTGGCGGCAGGGGAGCTGGGAGGGGTGCTCTTGGCGGGCGCGGGCGCGGAGTCTTTCGGAGAGCCGGCCGTGGTTTCGCCCGTGGTGGTAATCTAGGAGCCGCTGGACCGATTCGCCGTGTCGGCACGCAGAGAGGTCTTCTGCGAGCTGCTCCCTACTCGGCAGTGAAGGTGTGTTAATTTTCGAGAGACGAAGAAATGGGTAACTTCGATCTAGTTGTTCTTGCACCTCCCCATCCCGCTTCTCCCTTTCCTGATGTTCCTAATGGTCAGTGGAAATCGTCGTTCACACTGTAGGAACGTAGCTTAGCTCTCGTTTGGCACACGTAGGCAATGTTTCTTAGTCCCGGGTGAGATCGTGACGTTCGGTCTTCTCTCTGGTGCGACGTTCCCTACCTCAGTTTCTCCTCATGTTATGTTTAGCTCTGTTGTTCTGTCGGTCATTTTTTTCAGGCTCGTTTGTCAGCAACAAATTGCTACGTCGTCATCTCTGTGACGAAATAAGGAAAACGGGAAGGGGGAAACCCGGTTCGATAGCGACTCTGATATTATGGTTGATTATGTTCATCGGCCAACCGGTTCTGCAGGTTTGCAATAATGTTTTTCCCTTAGGGACGAAAAGAACAGACGAGCTGACCTCTGGCCGCTAATTGATTGGTCGTGTGCAGAATGATCTTCTCAGAGGTGTGTCGAAAGTTCAAGGAGCGGTCGTTAGAACGGTAGAGCTCCAAACGGGAACGAAACTGTACATCTCCAACCTCGACTTCAATGTCTCAAATGATGACATCAAGGTAAGCTGGATTTCTGTTTCCTCATTATGTTTGTTTGTACTTGGGGTTACCCGGAGCATAACTATCTATTATCGTGTTAATATTCAGGCGAAGGCTATTTTGCTCTCATGGTAATAGGGAGTTTGTCGGGTCAAGTAAAGTTAGCAGTCTTTCTTTGGTCGACAGCACATTCGACATACTGTCCAGAGGGAGGTATTCTTGTTGCTCAGAATCGTTTTTGTAACCTTTGACATGCTGAGTCGTTAGCGTTTTTTGTTGGTTGTTAGTTTTCACTGAATCTCAGTTCCTTACGGCTGACGATGCTAGCACCTTCTATGTCACATATGAGATGCGGTGGGTGGAAGGGTGTCTCAGGAATAATCGTTTTCTCAGGAATAAGCGTTTAGGTTTTTGGGTACCTTTTGTCCCTTGGTACGGTTCAGCGGTGTGGTTACATGCTCTTCTTTAAAACTGATCATCTTCTTCAAAACTGATGAATGGGAATGCAGGTGCACGGACTGGTGGATGTTGTTGGTGATTCGGATGTGTGGTCATTTCACGGGTCTTGATTCGAAGTAATGACGGGGTGTATCTGTGCATGAGCATCTCCGGGCTGTTGTTGTGACGACGTTGGCGGCTGTCTTCAACGAACTCTTTAGGGTTAGATGGCTGTATCTGTAATCCTCGAGTGGTTGTTGTGACGTTGGAGGCGTGTCTGGACATTAGGATTCCGTGTGGTTGTTGTTACTGGATAAATCTATACGTGTCTATCGTAAACCGTTCCATAGTCTATACGCGCTCTACGCATGATTTATTGGATAGATCTATACGCGTTCGACACATGATTTATTGGATAGATCTGTAAGCGCTCGTCGCATGATTTATTGGATCGATCTATACGCGCTCGACGCATGATTTAGTCGTGGATGAATTCCAAAGCCTTGGACGGATTTTAGGGTTTCAAGACTGTTCTTGTGTGCCCCTGTATTCAGGTCTTCCTTCGTTGCAGTTGGCAGGTTTCTATTCATTCCTCTCAGCCCATGTTATGATTGTTTGCGGGTGTCTGTCGATGCGCCCAAGTTGTGAAGAGACGTCGGCTATGCCAGCTGACGCGTCATAATTGCACAGACGCGTTTCTGGGTGCGGTTACGGGCTCGGTCTCTTGAGCGGTTGCAGGTGTGATCACGGGTGTGTGGTTTGTAAGCGGATGTGGGTAATAGGTAACAACCTTCTGGAACGTTACAATTATAGTACTGGGGTAGTTATTCTTTCCTTTCAAAAGAGTGATTGGATTCGACTAAGGTGCGGGTGCAGTTATGGCGACGTTCGTGATGTACTTGGGTGGTGTTTGCCGGCTCTGCTATGGGCCTTAGGCAAGGCGCAGTGGCATCGTCTTGTCACACAGAGGTTATGATCGTCCGGTTATTCATCTGATCGTCTCGAAGCAACTGCTTCGCATTGAGACTTTTCAACTGCTTGTGCGTGACAGCTCATGAGATTTCTTGCCATGTTATCCTGCGTTTGCTTTCCAATGTGATAGTGATGGGATTCCTGCTCACTGATTCCCACCGATTCCATCAGTGTTGTCGGGAAGCTTCGGGGTATACTGCGGCGTTTCCGAGGCGATTTCGTCGGTCGTCCGCAGATTGCTTTGCAGTATATTATTTGTAGATAGTTGGGATTCTTACGGGCTGTGTTTGGGCGGGGGAGGGCCTCCAATGGTGTGATCGGTTCGTGGCAACGAATCCGTCTGTTTCAGCGTACTGGCTTTCTTACTGTGGCTCCTGGCCGTGCGATTGAGCTCCGTTGTGAGGCTCTGAACACCTTTCTGGCTGGATCTTATATGACCGTTGTCGGTCCATATCACATCTGCGAGCTTTTGTGATTAAGTCTTGCGACCGAAAGGAAGGTGGGGCAAGCAAAACCCCGTAAGGTTTGTAACACAGTTTGTTCCTCGGGAAATGGTTGCTAAATGCATGCGGCAGGGCTCTTGGTGAACGAGGCCCCTGATCGTGTGAAGGTGTAGGCTGTTATTTGTTGCGGCCTGCTTGTTTGTATAATGGCTTAGTAGTCATGTAATCTGACGAATGTAATCCTGTGCTGTGGAATGACAGGAGCTCTTCTCGGAGGTGGGCGACTTGAAGCGCTGCTCGGTCCACTTTGACAGAAGTGGCCGTTCGAAGGTACGTTTTCTTGCGTTTCACGCGAATGGAATTTAAGTGTCGAGGTACTGCTTGTGACAGGGCATGCTCACATTAGACCTTTCCTATGATGTATCTGACTGCATTTACGCCCGGTCTCTATGATGCATCTGACTGCAATTACGCTCAGAGCTTGGTCGAAAAAAGTGTCTAGTTTGAGCATATGACCTGATGACGAGTTGTGACTATTTGTTGCTAATCTCCTTAATAACGTTTCGGCTGTTGGTGATTATTTGATGCTCATCTCCGAATAACGTCTCGTCACCAGTCCTCCGTAACATGTTATGCAATTCATTTAAGCATCCCATCGACATTGCATAACTCTGGGAATGTACTAGTAACAACATACCAGTTCTTTGTGCAAATAACGGTAGGTTTGTCTATTCCTCAAATGGAAATCTATCTGCCTGACATACAAACTGGGTGGATTTCTTGTTCGGCTGTTGGTGATTATTTGATGCTAATCTCCGAATAACGTCTCGTCACCAGTCCTCCGTAACATGTTATGCAGTTCATTTAAGCATCCCATCGACATTGCATAACTCTGGGAATGTACTAGTAACAACATACCAGTTCTTTGTGCAAATAACGGTAGGTTTGTCTGTTCCTCAAATGGAAATCTATCTGCCTGACATATATAACTGGGTGGATTTCTTGTTAACTCCCACGTTGTTGCTACCAGCCCTACGTAACGTGCTATATCGTCCATTTCACCATCGACATTATATAAAACCGCATGTACTGGTAACGGCATATCATTCCTCTGTGCATATAGCGACGAGTTTCTGTATGTTTTTTCAAGCGGAAAGTGAACATCTGGCTCACTTGTGAACTGGGTGGACTTCTTGCTAATTCGCTCGTTGCACACCGATTGAGATTTTTGAGTTAAAGGGTGGTCTATTGCATCTTGTGAAACGTTGTTGCCTTTTGTTCAAAGGCGTGGACGAAAGCGCAGGTGTTTGGGTTGAAAGAAAGTGTCTATTATCTCTTGTTGTTTGGGTTATTTTTTTGAGTCCATATTACTATCGTTATTTGTTAGGACGAGAGTGTAGCATTCTTTGTGGCTGTGATTGACGATCATGGGTTGTTCATGTGAGAGAGGATGTGGTGATGAAGATTGACGAAGTGGGAACGCCCCACAGATACTACTGGGCCTCCGTGTTGCAACGTAAATTGCTTAAATTCCGTGGATACGTGTATCTTGTTTGTACCTGTTAACTGAACACCGGTTACCTCAATAGCTTGCCCTACCGTTTTCACTGGAATAGGACGGTTGGTCATTGTCGCTGTTTCTGGTCATTATAGCTTGCCCTAAATACAGAAACATTGACAGGGCGTTCTATTCGGGTCAAAACGGTAATTTGATTTGTCCACGACATCGTTCTAAATTTTTCTGACTATGAAACCGGAAAGATTTTTTGTTGGCTTCGTTATCATCGCCAGCTTCAGCATCGTTTCCCCTACTACCGAAAGAGAATGTTTGAATACACGTGTAACTGACATTCCTTCCTTTCTTTGATGTCCACAGAGTATAATTGATTTGCTCTATGAATGACCGGTGTCGGGGTGTATATCATTGGGTTTGAGGAGTTCAGTCCGAAGTGTTTTGTATTGTTAAGTCTGGGTTATCGATGATGGACATGTGCTATCGAAGTTTCTCCGAGTGAAATGTCATCGGCACTTTTTATCATGATGATGGAGGGGCTGTCGTATTAGAAAATTGCAAATCAAGTACTATGAAGTGGAATGAAGTGGGCTGTAGTTCCTAACTGCCCTATGTGTCTTGTTTGGCTACCGAACTTGTGTTTTCCTTGGCGTTATATGGGGGCCAAAGGATGAACTGATGGATGGTCCGTTCTTGCTTAACGTTTAATTGCTGACAATTATCCTCCAATGATGCGGCCTTGGATGGCTCAATTTGTTCCGGTTCATGTTGCAGGGAAGTGCGGAAGTCGTCTTCGCTCGGAGAAATGATGCTTTGACCGCCGTTAAGCGTTATAATAATGTCCTCCTCGACGGGAAGCCGATGAAGATAGATATCATTGGAACGAACGTTCCAACGGTGGGAGTAGGTCGCGGACGAGGCGTCGGAGCAACACGGGCAGTTGTCGTCTCGTAAGTGTTTCTCATCCGGTCAAAAAAGCTAAGCTTCACTTCTTTTGATTGAGAAGTTGGTTGAATAGGATGAAAGTGCTTGGAACGTTGTCGATTACCCTGAAATTTGTCGAGCATTCGTCGATAGCCCGTGGAACATTCGTCGAAAGACCGTGGAAAGAACGTACGCTTGAATTTCCCGAATATCGCCGCTCAACCAGCAGGCCGCGGACCCCACGTAAGGTCCAGTTGTGGACGGCGAATTTAAATCGGCAACGAATGTTGTCCCCGTGTGAAAGGGGAGTGGCTTTGTGTGATGACATGCGTCGCCTCTTCAAATGAATACAAGCGTCAAGTTATAACAACGGTAGCATGCATCCCTCAGACATTGTCAAAGGACATCGTGAAATTGTACTGTTTGCCGCTCTTTGTTGCAAGGTTTATCGTGGCGATTTTGTGGATCCTTCGATGACTCTATTCTGTCAACTGATGGAAATACGCATCCGACGTCGGCCTATCTATTGGAGTGCACGCCCGATTGGATATTTGCGGTTGGATATTAGCGTGCCGTTTTGTACAACTTGCGTGCTGTTCCCGAAGATAATGCATGATTCTTCGTGTGTGTATGAATGGAAACATGTGCGCTCAGGTCGTGGGTGCTAGTCAACCCTTGGGCGCAAGAAAATGAATGGAAATATGTGCGTGTGCAAGCGATCGGCAACGTAGACGGTTCTGTTTTCGTGTCCCTTTCGGGCGGCTTACCTTTTCTGTTTTTCTGCTGGGTTGGGTTTCTCTTCTGAGTTGAGTTATCCCCTTGCAGGGCTTACGAGTCAAAGTCGGTCCTATCAAAACAGATCTCCGAAACTTTGCCTAGCGTTGGACAAGAATGTGTTGCTGCCCTGTGTGTGCGTGTGTGTTTGTTGCTCTTTGTTCTGTGCCTGTGTTTGTTGGTCTGTGTGTGTGTGTGCGTGTGTGCCACTTACGTTGTAGACAGTCATGCTTGCGTGATTGACATTGGGTTTTACCGTTTTGTTTTTTTGGGTGATAAATGCTTTCCGTTTGTGGACTCAAAAGAGTTGGCTAATGGAAATCATGCAATTCTGGTTGTGTTATCTTTGTCTCTCTAGTCTGTGCGTCTTCGGTTTTCGTTCTTGATTGTGTATCATTTACAGTTTTGACTTTGCTTCTGACGCGTGAGGACTTGTGGTGGTTGTCCTTCGCTTCCGCGTTGTTTTCCATGGCAGGGGAGGTGCGTTCCGTGGAAGGGGTATTGGTGCTGGAAGGGTCAGCGGCGGCAGGGGACGAGGCGGTAGGGTAGGAGCTGGCGGTGTAGCGGGAAGGGGTCGCGGACGTGGGGGGCGCGGAAGGGGGCGCGGCGACAATGGGCCGACGAAGACTGCGGAGGAACTCGATGCGGAGCTCGACTCGTACCACGCGGAAGCAATGCAGCCGTGAAACTGATGGATTCGGCGAAACTTTTTAACTTTTGTTAGCCTGTTTAAGCTTTCAGTTCTTTCGCTGTTTCTTTTTTGGTGTTCTCCTCGTGGTTATCACGCGACACATCTAGGGTAGTAAGCGTCACAACCGGAACTGAATCCTCGCTCTCTCCCGCTATGACTAGAGCAGGAGTGCCGTCACTCCCAATGTAGTTCGTTATCTGTCTAAGCCTGCATCGGCATTTAGCTGCCAGCTCTTTTTATGCTGTGCTTACCAGGTCAGTTGTTCATTCAGTCGCATAGGTCACTGGTAACCAAGTCTGGTACGCGCCGTGGTCAAGTATGTATGTTCAGCGGTGCTGAAACCTCGGGTTTCATTCGGTCAGGACGGCGACGTTGGTTAAATTGTCTACGGAGGAGGGTGGGGGAAAAGAGACAAATCAGCACTAGTAGTAAGAGAAGGAAGGGAAGAGGCGGTAGAGTGCCGGCTGGCTGGCGCATGAAATTCATGTCGAGTTGCGCATGGTCTGCTGATATACCGTATCCTGGGAGGCTGATGGAGGGTTTTGCCTGATTGTAATGATATACCTCGGAAGTCGACATTGTGGTACGTAGGGTACTGCTCACCCACGCTTCCGGTTTCCCTTCAACTGACCTGCCTTTTACTTTTTTTAAATTTTTTTAGCTATTTCTCCTTTTATCTCTTCTGGTAACCTTTTGCTCACGATCGGCTCACCCTGGTTCTGTTCTTTTTCTCTCAATCTCTGCATTTCTGTTTCCTTTATCTGCACCTGGTCCACTTTTGCGCCGTCGGTTGCAAAGCATTTTTCTCTTCTAAATTCTACGAGAAAAATGCGAAACAGACTTTCCGACGCTCCGCCATTCTCTGCTTAACTCTATAGTGGATGTTTTCGCCTTGTAGTATACAACCAGATATTGATGCCTGTATGTTGGGTCCTCCGTTCCGACTTAAAGTATAGTCATCGATCTCAGTTTCGTTGTGCGTAAATTCTGTTCAAGTGCCATTACTTGGTTTACTAGGTTAGGTCTATCTCCTCCGTGAACGGCTTGGTGTCTTCAATATCACATATTTCGCATTCCTTCTTTGCGCCGTATATGCAGTAGTACGTCTATTCGCCGCCAACTTGCTAAAAGCTTTTTGATATATGCCCGGATTGCTTGCAGGAACAGACCTGCCACCGAACGTGGTTGGTTGCGCTAATGTTGGAATGGATAGACAAATAATTTCACGTATGTAGTCGTTAAATGGCAAGCCTTCCACATGAGAGGTCTGCCGGTGTTCTTGAGGCTTGTTCTGTGTGTGCGAGCATGCTGTTGTATTTGTACATCTTACGCAACAAAAGATGCCAGTTTTGTTTTTGTCCTCTGCATTGCCTATGTCGGATATCAGGTCTTCAGCTCCAACCTCCTGCGTGCCGAAGGGGTAGGTAGTCGTTAATTTTGTCCCGTGTTAAGAAACCTCTTCCCTCTGTTCTCCTTCAAACCCAAACTGCCACTGGCCGACGCAACCATTGGAAATCCCTCTTCTGATTAACGAACAAGGAGCCGCGCAAAGTGGTGAAGTACTCGTCGGAAATCTCTCGCGACATGGCAGATCGGTAGCCCAATCGTTCCGGACTTCCGAAGCTTGGGCGGAAGCTGAAGTCTCGATCACGATTCTTGCGTCCCGACGTGATCTACACTTACTGTTACGAATGGGCGGCAGCCTTTTCGCGAAGATCAGGTGGTGTGTCTTCTAATCAGGGAGACAAAAAAGAAACCCGCCTTTACGCCAGGCTTGGGCGGAATCCTTTTCGCTAAGATCAGGTGTAGTGTGTTGTAATTAGGAAGAAAAAAAAGAAAGTTCGGCGGTAGCGGAGGTAATTTTGTGAAGCGGCTGGCGTGTGTCTCTTCGCTACGCAGCGCGTCTTGTACGAAAGACAACAATATTTCGGTTTCTTTCCATGTCGTAGCGGCAGGTTTATTCTCGTTTGGCATATTTGGTGTTTTAAATGACCCTCTCAAGGTCATGTACCTCGCAAGGGTTTCTGGACTCTGCAGTTGTCCTGATTACAATGAGATCGATTGGGTTCTCGATATAGCTGCCATGCGATACGTATATGAAATTGGTGTGAGTGTCACCTCCTTGTGTATTTGGCCGAGGATACTCCATTTTCACGGAGAAATCAAACTCGCGGTGGATGGTGAGGCTCTTGTCCGCTTGCACGAGATCCACGGACTATCTGGGAAGGTCAGCTTTATCAATTCCACAAGAGGGGACCTCGGCGCACCGTTCGCCGAAAGTACCAGAAGTGAAAAAGACGACGGTGCTCGCCGCACTGCTCGCCGTATAAGACTACTGCTCACCACGTGATGCTGTGGCGAGTTCTCAGCATCAGAAAAAGGGTTTCGAAAACTCAGCAATCTGAGCCCTCACCTCACAGCTTGATCGTATGTTAACTGGGCACTAAATCGCCTCCAGATGATCCACGTTTGGCGATTGTGGTGCGGCCAAGAGAAGTCATCGGGCGGATGTGGGAAGTCGTGATGTTGTCCAGATGCGAATGAACTCTATGATGAGCTCGGTGAACACTGAACGGCCAGCCTGTCCAGAATGGCGGGCGTTCCAGACTGGTCCCAACCGCACCATGCATAAGGGTTGCCCAAGGGTCCCACCAAAAAGAGTTGCAAGCAGGGAAGTCGGGCGTATTCGGTGACCCTTGCCAACCCAGTTTTCTGGAAATAAAGTTTTTGGTGGGATCCTCTTCTGTGAAGCGTACCTCGCCAAGCAACGAGTTTGCTGAAGTAGTGAGGCGAAGCCCCATACTTAACCACCAGTACCTCGCGCAGCTATTAAGTCCGGCCCTCGAACTACTGGTTGTGACCCGTGCCAAGACTAGAGGTACCGGTGGTGGTGCTTTCTTCTTTATTCTTCCTTTTGAACAAAAGACTACTTCCAAAAAGAAAACAAAAACAATTCAACAGTTGAAGAAAAATATAGTGCGTTCTGTGTCACGAAGTGCGGGGAAGAGAGAGAGATGAGGGAGAGAGGCAGCGAGAGAGAGAATTGGGTGCGTTTTCTGAGGTGGTAAAGCGAATGCTGCGCCCTTCTCTATCAGGGAGAACCGGCGAGCTGTAAGGACTGCCTCGGCATAATGGCGGAGTCAACGAATGTGCAAAACGGAATGGATCTTCATCCAAATGGCTGTCAGATTCATTTTTGTTTTGAACGTTCAGGTGTCCCCGAGTGCACCCTCTCTCTTGCTCGCTCTCAATCTCTTATTTGATTTGCTTTTTCTCTGTCTTAGAGAAGGTAAGACTTCTTTTTTATTTTTTTGGGTGCCTTCTTTCCTAGGCTCCCAGCCGGGCCGGCAGGGTCAGCCTATTTCCGGCCGTGCAAGGACCAGAGAAGGTCCTAGCAAAACAGAAAGAAGGAAATGAAAAAATTCGAAAAAGAACTAGCCTATTGTCGCAGGCTAACATCGAAATTTCGATCGTAGTTAAAATAAACAATCGAAGTTAAAATTATTTATTTATTTGTTTGTAATTGTTTTTGACCAATCAAAGTTAAAATTATTTATTTATTCGTTTATAATTGTTTTTGACCCGGACTGGCAAGTGGCTCCAGGCCACTCTGGGAGCTCAGCTTTTTTTTTTGTTTTTTTTTTCTTGGGAAAAGAAAGTCGTGCGGTTAGCTACCGGGCGTTCCCCTGGCCGAGCCCCAAAAGTCACGGCCGTCAGCACCCTTCTCAGCTATCAAATAGGAGACTCCTGGTACCGCTATGCCGAGCCTAGAGCGACCAGGTGGCGGGATTGATGTTCTCTCTAGAAAGGAAAAATAAATAAAAGAAGACAATGGTTTCGACTGATGAAAAACGGAAGAGGAAAAACGAAGAGTTCAAATTGATGGAGGAAGGGGTCGGGAAAGGGGACGGGGAGAGGGATATAATCTCGGTGTTTAGCGTGCAGTTGTTCCGCACTGCGATGCGAACGTATGTATTCTCTCTCCGACTCTCTCGCTGCGCGTTCTTTTACGTGCAGAACGGAAAGGCAACTTACGGGCCGCTTTCTCTCTCTCTCTCCGTCCCTTGTCGTGTTTGGTGATGTGGAGAGGAAAGGAATCTGCACACATTCTGCGCGCATGAACGTGCGTGCGTGTGGGCACGAGAGACGGAAAGAGTAGCACATTTTCTCATCTTGGACGAGGTACTCTGTCTCCTGCTCTTGCGGGTGTGGGCTCGTTGCTTGCGTGGTACGAATTTGGGAATGAATGTCTGCCAAAAACGAGAAAGAAGCACACGCTCTTTTCCACTCCCTCCGCTTTTGCGAGGATGTGGCTGTCTTTTCGTTTTTGATCTTATTTGAATTTCGTGTATCATTTGTTTTCTTTTGTTTTGTTTTTCTGATATGCACGATTCCGGCGTTTGTCAATTGGGGACCCTGACCTCCCCGTGTTCGCAGCCCTCACGGTGCGTTTCCCCCTCCTGAGACATTTAGCCCCGATACATTTTCGCTGTCGTTTGTTATGCCTGTCGTTGAAATGCAGGCAGGTGCAGGGACGCCACTTTGGGGGGGGGGGGGCAGTTTCTTTGAAAAATGCGGGGACCGGTAGCTGCCTGTGGGATCCCGCGCCTAGTTTTTGTCGAAACGGTGGCAAAGCAGCGTCAGCGTGGTAAAATGGAAAAGTCTGAATCGGACAGGGCGCGGCCTGGGCCGCAGGTTGAAATGACCCACCTGCATTGCATTTGTAAGTGCAAACACCGCCGGAAACGCACGTTCAGCGCCGGATTGAGTCAGACACATTTCAGTTAATAAAATAAGAAACTTACAACAAACACTCGAACACATGCGACCGGCCTCGTCACCAAGGTTCAACGGCCACCAATCTTGACACCAACTATGACTCAAGGTATGCCAAATGTCTCTCATATCTTAATACCATACAAATTACCTAAATCCCACGCATTCCAACAATAACAGGTGTGACAAACACGAAGTTTCACACAAACACATACACACTAATCTTGACACGTACACACAAGTACTCCTTTTTCTCATGCAACGGTCACCCTAGTAAACGTCACCAATAATGTCTCCTACGGGCTGCGCACCCGTGCGCCCCTAAGTCAATTACCCATGTCTGTTGGACATTTCAAGAAGGTAAAGGTACTAGGCGGATTAAACAGCGAAGAAGATGAGCGATGAAAGATTTAGCGATGGAGTTTACTGATGTTTTTGTTGGAGATTGCGTTCTCGGATTGGTACACTTGGTGAGTAGTAGTGGAGGGAGGTTCAGGAAAGTGTGTGATGGCTGTTGGACTGGTTGCAATTTAATATACGATGTGAGAGATGTACGTTCAACGACCCGACAAGGGCATTCGTTAGAAATCTCAGCAACGAAGTGCGCAGAACGTGAATGGTAGTCATTGGCTTGGGCATTCGCCAATGCTGAATAGGGTGACCCGGCTGCAGATCGGTGCTCTCCCGTGAGAGGCCTACGTTGGCAATGAAAAACGCACCTGTTGCCCATTAGTAGATTCTTTCTATTGTATAGGGTATAATCCGGGTACCGAATAGGTCTCCTGTGCGGCGCACATTTGTAATGAAGAACACTTTGAGCTCCCGTGCGACATGTCTCTCCAGACATGCTCGCGTGGGGCCGACATTCGCAATTAAAGACGCACTTGTTGCATATTAGAGGCCCTTCAAGCCCAGAGCTGTCGCGTGTGACCGCACAGGAGAATGTAAGTGTTAGAAACGAAGATGTCAATTGCTCTGTGAGAAAGGAAATACCCACACGTCATCGCTGCAAGGGGCGTCTATGTTCCTTTTCGCGAATGCACTTCGTCAGACTATCACAGATAGTATGTTCGCGATAGTCTTGATGCCGGTGCAAACATTTCATCCCGATGCCGATATTTATCGAGGCTCAGAGTTTTCTGGCAATTTGGTGCCTTCAGAATATCTCATTGTGGTTTGAAGACGTCACACTGTAAGAAGCTGAAACCATTTGGACTTCAGCGCATTATAGAAGCCTATGCATTGGTAGCACCTTATGAGGGATGTTCATGGTTGTAGTTTGCTTACTGGCTTGTACGGGTCATCTCATATTGGGTAGAGAATGAATGATCTCTGCCATCTTCTGCAAGTGCTTGTGCAGGTCGTGCTTGAGTGTGAACTCGTGGGTTGCAATAATCAGCAAGTCGTTTTGGTCTCCAACCTCCATGCAGCAACCTAGCTTAAGTGGTCTCGTTCAATGTATGAAACAAGAGCCACAGCTCGTTCATATGTTTTATGTGTGACCATTCGTTGCAGGTTTCGTTTTCTCTGATTTGACGATATTTTTTTAATATCGTGTTGTCCGATGGACCACGAATCAGATATCAAACTGATGATCAGAACAGGTACATTGCAATTTGAGCTTAGGCAAAAGGCCGAGCAGGTTTCCTGTTGAATAACGTGATTGCCTTTTGACTCTTACACTTTCACCGAGTGCTGCCACTTGCCAGTAGCTTTTCCATTCTTCGGTAGGGGGCCCTGCGTGGCATAAAACTCTGGTTGGCTCGCTTGCGTGGGGCCACTTAATGTTAATCGACGGGGAATTTGTTTCTGGGTGGGAGAGGTATTGGAGGTTTGAGTGCAACGCTTGTACATTTTTCACTCCAAAAATGAATTCATCTCCAATTTTCCTTTTTTATTTCAGGTGTACGTACCACGACGTGCCAGGATTCATCTCTCCTTGTCCTCAAGTTCACTTGATTGCGTCGTTAAGATTTGTAATTCTTGAATGAGAAAAAAATACTATTCTGTTTTATAAATAATAAAAGTTGTATAAAGCATTATGACATGTGTCGTGGTAAGAATGCTTTGAAGTTCGCAACTTGATTTCACTGCTCAGTCTTGCTACCCTTTTTTTTCACGTTAGTCTTAAATCGCTCATCCAACGTTTATTGTTTCAATTCACATATAGCAAATGCAATGTATGCAATGCACTTGTGGAGCATAGGGCGTCG